CCACAACGAATGGTGACTCTGTTGCTCATCACGTCTATCTTCCAGTGTTGCAGTGTTGCATTGCGCAGATTCACCCCAAACCGCAACTGTAAGCAACAAATGTGGAGCTAATCTATTGCTCCCTTAGTCCAGCACGCCTTTTAAGCAGATTTGCGCTGCACCCGGCTGCTGTCTCCGCCGAGTGCCGGACGACCCCAGGTCACAACATCCCCACATTCAAGAACGGCAGCAAAAGCACCCGCGCGGTTTGCTTGGATGTGCTGGACGTTCCTCAGCTGCTCTTGCACCTGGCTGCTGTCTCCGCCGTATTCAGGATTGCCCCAGGTCACAACGGACCCAGACTCAAGAATAGCAGCAAAAGCACGCTCAGTTGCTTGGATGTGCTGGACGTTCCTCAGCTCCTCTTGCACCTGGCTGCTGTCTCCTCCGTGTTCTGGAATTCCCCAAGTCACAACAGCCCCAGATTCAAGAATGGCAGCAAAAGCACCCGCGCGGTTTGCTTGAATGTGCTGGAAGTTCCTCAGCTGCTCTTGGACCTGGCTGCTGTCTCCGCCGTGCTCAGGACAACCCCAGGTAACAACAGCCTTAGATTCAAGAGTGGCAGCAAACGCGTGGACAGTTGCTTGGATGTGCTGGACACTCTTCAGCTGCTCTTGCACGAAATCCGGCTGGCCCCAGGTCACAACAGCCCCAGAATCCAGAACGGCAGCAAAGGCAAAGGCATTTGCTTGAATGTGCTGTACATTTCTCAGCTGCTCTTGCACCTGGCTGCTGTCTCCGCCGTATTCAGGATGTCCCCAGGTCACAACGGACCCAGACTCAAGAACGGCAGCAAAGGCAAAGGCATTTGCCTGAATGTGCTGTACATTTCTCAGCTGCTCTTGCACCTGGCTGCTGTCTCCGCCGTATTCAGGATGTCCCCAGGTCACAACGGACCCAGACTCAAGAATAGCAGCAAAAGCACGCTCAGTTGCTTGGATGTGCTGGACGTTCCTCAGCTCCGCTTGCACGTGGCTGCTGTCTCCTCCGTGTTCTGGATAACCCCAAGTCACAACAGCCCCAGATTCAAGAATGGCAGCGAAAACATCGTCAGTTGCTTGGATGTGTTGAACGTTCCTCAGCTGCTGCTCTTGCACCTGGCTGCTGTCTCCGCCCAGTAGTGGATGGCCCCAAGTCATGACAGCCCCAGATTCAAGCGTGGCAGCAAAAGCACCAGAAGTTGCTTGGATGCACCGGATGTTCTGCACGTTCCTCAGCTGCTCTCGCACCTGGCTGCTGTCTCGCCGAATTCCGGACGACCCCAGGTCACAACATTGCTCCCATGGCCATGCAAAGCAAACGCCGTTCCAGTGGCAGCTAGCTTGCATAGCTGAACCACCGCAGTTAGCACGTCCCCATTTGCCAACCCGGCTTTGCTCACTGTGGCAGTCAAGTTGAGCTGCTGGCCTTTCCAAGTGAGCTTCAGCGGGCGCTGAAAATGCTGCTTCGCAGCAGCCTTCAGCTCGCTGATGAGTGTTGCGGGTGAGACTTCTATGGAGCAACCATCTCCACTGGGCAGGTGAACATCCACCTTCATGGCGCAGGAAGGGTCTTCTTTGAGTATTCAAGTTGCTCAACACGAACCTGAAACACAAACATGTACATTGAGGTGGCTGTTGAAGGAATCCCCGCCGTTTGCGAGACCTCAAGACCTTAGACACACCCTTGCAAGAAAAAGATCCTTTGTGGGTCTTGAACTGTTTTGCCGTGTAAGGACCTTCCTGGCTATCTAACTTGCATTTTGTGACTGAAGTTCTTCAGTTGAAGCCCGAGCGACGTCAGCAGTACCTGTGATCCTCAACCTGCACGGATATTCGCGCACGTTCGACCTTCACGGCAAGTACAAGTAGCGATGTGGCGTTCAGCATCTGGGGGAAAGGGAGGCACCCAGGAATTTGTGCATGTTGGGGGTAGTGGGCAGAAAGCCCGACGTCTTCCGACGCGTAGATATTCTACATTAGTGGAATGGGATGAATAAACCAAACAAGGCCTCCATGCGAGAACTTGTTGAAATCAACGGCTAAACGAATCAGCAAAACCGGGTGAACCCCAATCAGCAGTTGTGAGTAGCGGTGTTCTGTGGAGCCCAACGAAACGACTCGGATCAAATAAGGGGCAAAAATTGGAAGTTTACAAAGGTGAGAGTTTCAGAGACCCTACAAACCCACCTCTTCAAAGGAACCCACCCCACTCCCAAAACAGTATGAAATTACGCCTTATGGCCCAAGGAGGCTCTATAATATTCGCGCCAGCCCTTCACGGATTTAAGGGCCCTAGTTCGGTTTGTTCCTTCGGCCTCTGCAAGTTTTAACGCTGTCTGTCCAGGGGTCATTCTTCCCTTCACAGGTGCTCATATCAAAGCACCGTTCCCCAGCCCCAAAAGTCGCTTGTTCTTGTGAAGGATTGCGATGACTACATAGCCTTTCCAGCCAGCTTTGCAAAGGCATGGGGCTCTCATTGTGACTTTGCAGCTTGGAAAGCGTTGACTTTGATTATCCTGTTGCCAAGGGGGATCTGCAGTCGCAATAGGCGAGTCTTGCGCGTACTGGGGCCATGAAGTTTTCGGAGCTATGATAGCCTTGTTGGCAACATTAACCCCCCAGTCCCCAGTTTCTTTGCATGAATAGAGAATCCCAACAGCTAAGCTGCTTAGGGGAAAGAGCAGAATGTCGCAGCAATGTCAGAGGCCAGTGAGAGCTTTGCCACAGCAGAATCCCACCCTTTCACATGCCGGCCAGGCTTCTCAGCATCTGGAGCCATTCGATGACCCCTGCTCACTTTGAAGTTTGTAGTTCAGTACCTTGCGCGGCGAGGGCGAGTGCATGGTACATGTATGATGACTGGCTGATGAAATCTGGGTGCGGATTTTGAAAAAGCAGATGTCTGCAACAAATGTGCAACCGCAAGACATTCATAAAGTGGGCATAGTTAGTGCGGAGGTTCCATGCTTGAGGTTGCAAGAGGCAAGCATCAAATGTTCGCAATTGGACCTATAGACCCCTGCAGGAATCCATAGCAATCCATTTCTTGATTGCTTCAACCTGGGTTGGTGTTGATTTCTGCACAGAGACCATCCGCGACCTCCGGGAAATCAGACGCCCCGCTGGCCGCCGTTTCCATGTCCGGGGCACCGAAAGGAAGCGGCCACTGGCCACCTGGCGCGGATGGGAGCTACAAGCTCGGCAGTCAGAAGTCAAGATAGGAGCCACAGCTCCCGAGCGGAATGTTCCGCAAGAAACAACCAGCAAGTCATATAATTGTATATATACACATACATATATATATATATACATATGTGCATATATATATATATACATACATATTCTGTGTATATATATATATATATATGTAATTATACACTCGGCACTCATGCGCAGGACCGAACTGATCGCCAACCGACGCTCACTGAGCTTGTAAGCTTTTCAAAGCAGTCCCTGGTTCAAACCGTTATCATGTACACAGGACAGGAGCATCGTCTAGTCAATCTACACACCTGGACCTGGATCGGTGCGGGGGGGGTGTTACTTGAGTTGTACATGATTGACCCTTACAGCAATGTAGGAATCCCTTGTATCATACTTTGTAGTGCATGCGAATGTCACAGCTTGAAATCTTTGCTTGCGCGCGCGGTCCGCATTCTGACTGCTTGGGAATGTATCAGTATCCTTTGAGCGCTATTTGCGCTGGAGGGGGGGTTCGGGGGGTTCGGGGGGGGATGGTACCGCTCTTGTTCATTGAAAACACATCTCACGGAACGGCTTTGTTTACTGACTGATTAAAAGGCTCGTCTTCTTGCTGCTTTTCACATGTTGGGACTAAGATCGGTGGATGCGGTCCATTGTCATTCCTTCCAAAGACAACATCACAATTGTTTGACTCAAATCCCAATGCAATTGACCACATCCGCCGATCTTGGTCCCGACGCATGGCTTAAAACACGGTCATGAAATATATTTAGGTTGTTGGAGTTTGCGCGAATGGCCGTTGAATCCATGTCAAAACATCTGTCAAACAGAGAAAACAAATTCAAGTTCAAATTAATGAAGAACAAAGGACCCAGTTCAAAATCAGAACTCACCCTTTGGAACAAACCCGCGCGACTCTCTGGTGCGCCTGGGCGGTTCAGCGCTTCCGCTGTGACATGCCCAGCTAAAAGCGTCACATGAGCCGGGGGCGCAGACGTCCGAAAACAAAGAAATGGCAACCCTACACGCCTCTCCACTTAAAGACCCACCCATCTGTTATTGCCAAGGATGCTACCAAGGGATCTAGAGCTGGTGCTTTCCCCGAACCTCACTCCAGGGCTCGAACGTTCAACGAGTTGTGCGTGATTCATTGAATGGCGTCCCTAGCCTATCCAGACTTGAGGTCCACAAACTCAGCTTTACTTTGGTGCCGGGACGGCAATTCCTTCGTCTTCCTCTACCTCGCCAAACTGCCAGCAAATTGAACTTCCGTCACCCCACCAAGAGGCGACAGTCACTGTAAATTGGCCCTGTAGAGTTGCTCTTCAGCTGCAGATTCGAACATTATGATAGATGTGCAAACTTGAACTAGACGTTGGACGACACATGGAGTGGTGGGGTTGTCCACATGGATCTCTTTTAAGACCCCCTTATACACCGATTGACACCGAAACGGGTCCTACAAAGGGCCCTACAAACCTTATAATACCCATGTAGCGTAGCCAAACCACTCCGCCTTCAACGACAACTGGGCCGTCCCAGAGCATGCTGAACACAAGGCCCGACTACAGGGAACATCCTCTGCACCCGGGGTGGAATCAGTCTTTGGCAGTGGCAATTTGGCATCGGCCCAGTTCGGGCTGAGTGGCAATCTCCTCTGTCAGGAAATGGACAGGCACAAAGCGAGCTGATACGGGTGTTGGGATGGCTGCTGCGCACAAGTAATTATGTCTACGAATTGGACCACTCATTGTACAGACGTAGCTGTTCTTGTTTCTCCGCGGCACAGGACACACAAGTTTGTCCCTGCAGCCCTGCTGTCTGGCAACGCATTGAGAGAACACCTATGCGCGCAGCTTGTAAAGCTTGAGTGCCTTCTAAATGGGCCCCCCTGCAACCTGCCATCGGCAGTGGTCTGGAGGAATACGCCAATGCCACGCTGTACATGAGGGTTCCAAATGACCCGTGGCATAGCACACAAGCCCGAAAAGATATTCAGCTGTTCCAGATCCCGCCGGACCAAGTTTTAAGAACTGGCCCAAGTGCAAAAAAAGCTCCCTTCGGAAAGAAAAACCACCATTGCACCGGGCACCAAAGACCAGCGCCACATCGCTCTGCACGCGCAAATGGATGTCATTGTACTTCATCTTCGACGCAGGACCAAGCAGTAGAAATCTGCGTCGTCCTCCGAAAGTGGCCAGAGGGGCAACAAAACAATAGGAAACGCAAAAGAATGGCTGAGCCTTTCGCCAGCATTTGCTTACTTGATGTTGGTAGGAAAACCCGGCGGGGGGGGGGGGGGGGGGGGGGAAAAATGCAGTGAGCAACCCTTGCCATCCTTGAAGTCCTGCTCTGTTCCAAAAATCCCGCAATCGAAGCTTAACTAGGGAAACCCACCCTTTGTGGATCCCATGAGACCTTTGGAAGTGCGTTTCGAAATCCAGGATCGCAAATTGCATAGCCATCGTGCTGACCTGTGTAGCTCCATCCCTTTTGCTACAGGACCAACCGTCTGGCTGAAGACTTGGCTGCAGACCCGATCCCGCAAGTCCTCCAGAGACTCCAACTCCAGCTCGGGCACCTTTCGAGTTCGACCCAGCGCCCAAAAGGCACCGAAGACATGGCTGGAGATGCCTCTGAGCATGGAACCCAACAAGGTCCCTTTTCCCAGATTCCTCTCAAAACGCATGTTGTTTTTCAGGGTCCCATCAATAATCTCAAAAAAGAGACTTGCTTTTGGTCACACGGCTCCTTCGTGCGTGAGTTGGAAGGAGCTCGGGGAGGGGAATGATGTCGCGAGCGTCACAGCCAAGGCCCAAGTGTCAAGTATCGAAGAAGACAAACATGACTGTGGCGAATAGCATGCTTGGCATTTTTGGAAGATTGCACGGTGCCAAAAAAAGTAAACCCCTACAGTCCGAGCATGCCGCCACACACATTGGTAGACACCGACTGCATGAGTACAGCCGTTTGTGTCGCCCCGCAGATTTCCGGGAAAAGGCCTCTATCTCAAAGGTATTTCAACCCTCCACCGGCTATGCTGTCTCCACCAAACCGATGCAGAGCCCGCTGTTGAAACCGGCCTCCAATCAAACAACCACCTAGGAGTAGTTCAATTCAAAACTGTGCCTTTCCAAACTGCGATGTTCAAACTACCTGAAATGGAAAACAGAGTTGAAACCTTTCGTGGTTGTTTTCTGTTACAATACTTCCCCCTTGAAACTACCCCAAAGAGGGAAATTCATTCAGACCCCGATTTGGCCCGTGCGCCTCCGCGAGCATCGTCTTGAGCTGCTCTTTCCCGGGAAGATCGTGAAGAACCTGATGCTCAGTGGCCACAGTGAGTAGGCGCATGGAAGACAAAGAGAAGTGCGCCAAAGAAACCAAGATTAATAAAGGCAAGCCCTGTCATATTGTCCCGGTAAAAAGAAAACTCGCCGAATAAATTGGCCTTTCAAAGAAGAGATGTTTAACACCATGCTTTAAGAGGAAAATGGGTATGGGTATGTCTCAAATTCGGTGAACCCCCGAAATGGTTGATCTCCTTCTGGCTTGATGTCAAAACCCACCAAACAAAAGCAACACGCCTGCACCTTTCTCCATGACCCTTTGGTGGAGATAATTCACATTGGAGGGGCTCCACAGTTTACCCCCAAACAATTGGAGCCGTTCGGCGTCTCTTTTGGGCTCCCGGCCATACGGGGGTCGCTTTGTTGCAGCGTGCGCAGCCAGGGCCGGCCCAGGGGGTGGCTGATGACCTCGCAGTGAAGTTGCCTAATGCGTAAGCGCCTAGACTACTGCTCGGAGTCTCCTTCTGAGCCTTGGGAAGGGTGTTGACACCTGATTTTGGCAAAGGACCCCAGTTTGTGAGGTGAGAAGCTGACCCCCTCACTCATGCCAATGAGGCCCTCACGTATCAGACAAATCAGTGGCGGGCGGCCCGCCCTTACATTTGTCCCGCCCTATGCCCGCGCCGGGAGAGGCAACATAACAATGTGAAACACAGTCAGGAGGACCCAAGCGCGACAAGGATAGCGTGAGTGTTGAGGCGGAACACTCACAATAAACAAACAGTGACGAGCAAACGCACGACAATGAGACCCTTCGTGTTACAGGTGAAACACTCGCCATGAACGCATAGTCAGGAGCACCCACGCATAACAATGACACGGTTCCAAATGAAGCACCCCAATGAAAACGCAGCCACGAGCACCCCGCACGCGAGAATGATAGCATTATTTTTACAACGCAATGAGCACTCAACCATGCTCCAGCTACCTCCAGCTGCCCTGAAGCGAGCCCCCCACACAGCAACCGCTTGCGTTCATTGTGAGTGCTTCACCTGCCACACGAACGCTTTTGGCGCCGGGGCTGGGGCTGGACGCATTGCGTGGTCAGTTGTGTGGCTGGCGCGGTCAGAACTACAGCCGTAAGGACGAAGCGCCAAGAACTGAGGGGTGGGTGAAGGGCAAGGGGCCCCGCAAAGGATTGAGCCCCCGTAGTCCGAGGGTTAGGAGCTGGCTAGAAACTGAAGGGTGGGTGGGGTGTGGGAGAAAATGAGCACACCCACTCGAGCGCTCCCCAAACAACATGCATTGCGCCTGCAACAAAGGGCCGTGGCAAGCAAGTCAGCTGCGAGGTCCAAAACGAGGCGAGTCACGAGAAGTGCTGCTACCATGTTTTTTGGGTGCATTCATTGATCACTCAACCCCAGACTGCCCAAGTTGGCCGTTCCGAGGCCCCCGGCCACCAAGCCGCCGTCGCTCAGCAAGTCCCGGGCCACATGCCGCAGCACGGCCACGGGGTCGAAGAGGTTCCCAAAGCAGGCGTTGAAGACCTTGGCAGCGAGAAGCAAGAGCGCGAGAGAGAAAGAGAGAGGGAAGCAAACAAAAGAAACAAGCAAGACTAGAAAAGTAAAGAGCAAAGAAGGGATGGAAAATAGCATGAAACAACTAGCACAATTGGTCCGCATTCCAACCCTAAAATTGGCAGTGCTTGGCATCGGCGACAGGCAAACCCCATGCTGGACATAGCCGGCTTTCAGCGCGCGCCTGCCAGCAGGCTCGCTCAAGTGACCTCATGACCCTTACCTTCCGGCCAGAAGCGATTGACGCGGGGCATGACCCATTGGATGCAGGAGGAATGAACACATTCTCATGTAATTCAGGTCGATTTGGCGATTGAACGAGTATTGGGAGTTGCTCCCGCTGGCGCGTTGGCGGTTTCTTTCCTGACAAAAGATAGTCGTTCCCTTCGTAGGAAGCCTTCTTGCAACCATTGTCCAAATCTGTCAAGGGCTACTTCAAGGGCTACTGACTCTGGGGTGGTTTGGAAAAATTGATGGCCCTGGGAACCAAACTGAAACCAGTGTCATCGATTTTCCACCAAACTCCCTGAAAACCAATCGGCCTGGCATTTTCATCCGGAGTGCAGCCAAACCACGACCCGGTCAAAGCGCCCGCCCTGGAATTGGAGCACGTCCTCCTGGACGAAGGTCGTCTCCGGAAAGCCTTGATCGGCATGTTGTCTCAACCCTTCCAAACCAAAATGGCTTGCCGCATTGACCCTGTTTCGGCAAGTCTGCGCATCTCCATGTTTGGCTGTTGGGACCCAGTGTCAAAGAGTCTGGCGGAACAAATGGTTTGCTAGCGGCATCCTTGAAAGAAAAATCGAATCTGCTTGGCACATTCCCACAATGACATAAGCTTGCCAGTTTGACACGTGTGCGCTGAGATCGATCGCCAGTGCGAGTCTTTCGGACAGAGCTAGGAGGTAAGCCTTGGTTTGCCTCAAGCAGATCTGGTGATATCCGCTCCAGGCCTGAGTTAGCTGTATCCCCAGTGCAAGCTCCGTAAGATCATTTCTTCGCTCAAAGAAAACCACCAAAAAGCGCCATGCCTGCGAAAATAACAACCACCAAACACGGAAACGGAACTGAAACCAACCACGTTTTGGAGTTTTTGCAGCAGCGAAACAATGAAAAACATGGCGATGCCCGTCCCCCTCCATCTGGCAATTTCTCCGGGCCCCCCGGCGCTCCTTGGCGAAGCCCAACATGCCGGCGCTGAGGTCCACCCCCACCACCTGGGCCAAATCCACCCCGGCCTCCTGGAAGAAGGGCAGCAGCGCGCCTCGAGACTTTGGAAGCCAGCTGTGCGGAAAAAAGCGGCTGAGGGCTCCCAAGTGACTTTGCCCCTGGATTCCCCGGAAACTTTGAGATGTCTCGCATTTTTCTCTTGGCTCCCCAGAGTTCCCCGAAATGTTCCCGCTATGTTCCTAAGTTTCTGTCTGGCTTCCAAGAAGGTCATACTTCTCAAACGTCACGCCGAGGGCAGACTCGCCTAAATTGGTCCAAGAAGTGATGCACCACTAGTCGCTTCAAAGCTGGCAAGTGGTAGGTTCACGGGACACCCCAGTTTCTGGCTTTGACCCCCAGAAACCATCGTTCTCTCTAGGCACCTTACCAGCGAACTTTGTCAAGCGAAGCCCTCGCCTCTAAAACTGGGCAGTTTGCTTTTGCTTTCACTTCAAAACCGAAGCTGCCAGCCGCGGATCGCGCCTGTGCCGGTGCCAACGTCCAGAAGCGTGGTCCTTGCTTCCGGGTATTCAGTACCACCCAACAGCGACCATTGACCCAAACTGGTCCAGATGATGGTGCTCGGGGATGTTGCCCTTCCCACCCAACCCACACACCCCAACTGACCAATCAACCCACCAAACCCACAAACTCCAGCCACCGTGCCTAAGAAGAAAACAGACCTCACCCGTTGCCTCAGCTCATAAAACGCGTCGCCCACGGGCGCGGCGCAGCTCGACGTCTCAGCTCCCGGCCCGGGCGTCTCCAGGCGGCAGCTGCAGGCGATGCGCCGCAGCTTGGGCTCCACCGAGGCGGGCGTGGCCTTCTCCGAAGCGAAGAAGTCGGACTTCTCGTCGAAGGTCTCGGAACCGCTCGGTCGGTCTCGTGGCTCGAAACCAGTGGTTGCATGGTTTTGGTGGGGAAGCTATATAACTTTTTGGGGAAAAGCAGGGCTTTGAAAGAAAAAGGACACCAAGCATGGGTCCCAGTTGTTTTCGGAAAGACCTAAATTTGGCTGGTGGCTCTGTGAGTGTGGCAATCCAGACTAAAGGGGACGAGAACCATGCCGTCATGGCACTAATGAACCTCGCAAAGCTTACAAATCCAAGTCTGCATCTTCTTAGAACAATTCCAGAACCTGAACATTGGAATCCCACGTAAAGGATTCCACGTTTGTTCCCCCGAATCGGTGAGCTCGAAACCAGTAAAACAGGCCGAGCTGATGACCTCGACTCCCACATCCCGGAGCCCGCCTTGGCCTGATACTGGTTGTGCTCGGCAAGCTTGGACTCCATGCGGGGGGCTGCGAAGACCTGCGGCATTCTGGTCCTGAATGCCGACGCCCTTTGGTTTAGATTTGCAAAAAGTCGGAAAACACCTCGACCCTAGTTTCGGACACATGGAAATATGGAAAGACAGGACCCTGAGTGGTAAATGCTGCAAAGAACCCGCCATGGAAAACACAAGTAGGTTGGTAAAGGCGATAAGGTCCGGGCTGGGACCATCCCCGAACCTGTAGGGGCTTTAACAAACCTATGAGTGTTTCCAAAGCTATTTGGACCCCCAAGAGGTGGCGGGTTTGGATTCCCTGTAAACACCAAAACTGCCCACCATCTCTTGAATGACCCATAGAAAAGCTCGATGCCTTCGGTTTCATGTTGAATCGACACCAAAAGAATGAGAAAGTGAAAAGACACGGCCTAAGAGAGCACCCGCCTGGATCTGTGGCAGCGAGTTTCTGGCTGCTGTCAAAACCTGAGCTGGATCAAGCAAAATGTAAGACAACCTTCGCAAGAACGGATTGATGATCAAAGGTCCCCCAGTGTGACACAGTTTGGTTCTACCTCATTAGCTAGTCAACGTGAAACCAGGCAGAGGCAAAAGAAGTAGTCTTGACAAAATGATGAATTTTGGGAGAATGCTTAACTTGGGTCAAACACAAGAAGTACACTGCTGCACGAAGAATTGCTTCCATATAGACACACCATGATTAGGATGAAGAGACAACTAAAGCGCACACAGTGACCGCCCCCCCCCCCCCGTTTCCCAAGCGGGAGGTCCTGACCGAAATCCTACGCCCAGGATGGCGGGAACTTCCCTAAAGAAATCTCCAAAATGGGGTGACGATCCAGTGCCATCCTCATGGTTTTGACTGAAGGCTGGCGCAGTAGTGCAGCATCCAGTTGAGAAGGGACATCCATCTGTCCACCCATAGGTGTTTCTCGGAACTAGGAACCCCTTCAGGTGGCTGGTTTCTTTTTGATTGAGAGGACCCTATTTAAAAAAACACACATGGCCTAGCCAAGTGGCCAATGTGGGGTCTCCAAATCAGGAAACTCCCCGTGGGCGGCTTCCACTTGCTTTCCCTTCAGAATCACCCAAAGTTGCCATCGAAAAAGACAAACCCAAAATGCGAATGCGTTGAGGATTCTATGCGGGCCATACACATCGCTTGCAAGCAAGGTGAATTGGGCTTTGAAGATCGGATAGGCTTCATCCAACCTATGTGCCTTGAACAAAGTCTTCCGCAAGCAAGACCACAAGAAAAAAACCTCAAACCATCCTGATGCACAACGGTGTCAGCGATGTGGCTATAGAAGTTGTTGACAAGGGGAAGCAAGAAGCTTTCTATGCAACATAAGTTGTTGCCTTAGCGCACTTCTTTGAATGCCTCTCTGGGCAGTCAGCATGACTGCATCTCTTCCTTGTTGCGATCACCGGCAAAAGGCGACTCAGGCGGCGCTTGTCCGCCGCGGCGCTCAACGGAAACTGCTGCCGAGCTGCTGCACAGGTCGCCAAGGCGCGACGCACTTGGGCCATAGTGCAGATATGCGGAGGCGTTGTTTCCCAATAGGACATGACACTGGTCTATGACCAGGTAAGTGGCACATGGTCAGCAGTGAATTTGACTCATGGCAAGGGGACGCTGCTAAGAGCCTGATCTGGAGCATGCCAAGGGCATGAAAGGTGATGCTCCCCAGAATGATTCATGTCAAAGTCGTGAGCATCACCCACTTCTCCCATACTAAAAGCCTTCCAAGGGATGATTTCCAACCACAGTGGTTGAACCAACCCCAGTGCTTGAACCAACCCTTCCAATTTGCTTCCCAGAGTTTGTGCTGAACCAAACCCTTCCCACAAATTCTGGCAAAGTTGCTCTCGGCTTGCCCATGGCACCAAGTTGTGCACTGAAAGGGGAATCCCAAAACTGCGCCTCGGATCCTGGATACCAAAACCCAAAAGAGGGCATTCCTAAAAGAAAAGCACGCATATATGACAATTGCTCACAAGACAATTGGCCCCTGTTGGGCCTTGGTCGCATCTGTTTAAGCCTTTGGTTCTTTGAATATGCGAAACTTTGTCTATCTTCAACCAAACGGTTGATCCCAAATATGGTCCAAGCCCCCCACATGTTGGACAAACCCTTAGCAATTGTTTTTGTCTTGCGCGAAGCAATGCCAGCTTGGCTCTAGAGCTGCTGTGGACTCTAGCACTGGCACTCAGTCCTCATTAGTAGCTGTCTAGCGCTGGCACTCAGTCCTCATCAGCAGCTGCCGTCACATCAGCGGTCAATGTGTTGACTGCCTCCTCGGCCTGCCAATCAAGCAAATCCTTGGCCTCTTGACATGGCTTGCAATGTTCCATACCCTTCTGAACTTCTCCAAGTTCATAAATGCCCATCCAGCCAGCCAGCTGCTCACAGGCCATTGATGCCAGCCACTGCTTTTGTTGGCCGCCGAAAGCTGCCGGAAATGCTTCCCCATCACCCGAGCCTTCCTCCCCATGCTCTTGGCACCACCAGGGTGGCTATTTGCATTCACATTTTGGATGAGCTTGGCACATGCCATTCACAGTGCGTCGCAAGTACAATTTTGTCCTTGGTGGAATCTCCACAAAGGGTTCTAGCGGACATTGGCACATTGACCGCCTCTTCACTCCATTTTTTGCAACCCTGCAGTTGACGCGGAAAGTTGAATCCGGGCAATCGAAAGTTGACACTGCATTGCAGTGCTGCTTGGAGATATTCTTGCATATCAATTGATATATATATATATAATATGTATATGTATGTGTGATATATACTCATGTATATATATATATATAAAACAGTACATAATATATACATATAGACACATGCATTCATTCAACAAATGACTCCATGTATACAGTCATTTATTGTTCTATCGAATGAATGTGTCATTCAACTGATAGATATTTGTATTTGTTTCCGCAAGTGTGAATGTACATTACCATACATGCCTGGCCCAGCACGTTGGTTTTACTCATCCCGGCCCGGCCTCCGGGCGGACCATCTCCATGCCCACGTCATCGCCGCCGTCGCCATGGAGCTCCATCAGCCTCAGATCCGGATCCAGCTTTTGAGACAAGGACTGAAACCCAGGGTTGATCTGCGGGGCGTTCCTTGAGTTGAAACACAGCGGGAGATCTATATGAAAATTGGAGATTCCCCCTTTTGGTTTGCCGGTTTTGGTGTAAACGCTTCTTTGGGGGAACCAAAGAGAGAGACAGGGCTGGGCCGTTGCCGCCGCTTAAACCATGGTAACCCCCGTTTAAAACAACCTCTCGGGTTTCCCTTTAAAAGGAGGAGAGGGTCTAGTTGCTTAAACCAACCCTGCCAAAGACCCTGGGCCCCTGTGTGGGAACTAGTTCCCAGGCCGCTGATACCATGTTTGAGGCGGCTCGTTTCAGGAATTCTTGTGTTGCCCCGTATCAAAGACATGCTTGAGGGGGTTGCTGTTTGTTGATATCGTTTGCGCTTGCTTTAGAGCGAAACGAAAGGAAACTCGCCATTTGAGATGGTCCCCTTGGGGTCCTTTCCAGTTTGATTACAAAGTGGACTTCAACTAGGGGCCAGGGAAATCAACTCGCGCTGGGATTCACTCTGCCTTGGATCAAAGAATGTCACTGAGAAAGATCCACAAGGACCTGGGCTGGTTCAAAGGCCCATGTTGGAGGTTTCAACTGCAGACACCCGCAGGCTGGGATTCCAATCCTGTTAACGCTACGAGGGCCCTGGTCTCAGGAAGAGGCGAGGGGTACTAGCGTGACGGTAGGCGTAAAACATGGGCAATGTGGTTGTCTCCAAATACGCAGCAGCCCAAACAGGCACCTTCAAAGCAAGGCATGCCCAAATAGCGTCCCCCTTGGATGCTCGCAACCAACACTTACCAGTTGAGCACCCGAAACCGACATGCCTCGCCATCACCACGGTGGAATCCCATTCTATAGCTAATGGAAACAAAGTCAAAGGATTTCGGGTGCTCAACTGGCAAGGCTTCGAAATAGGAGGTTTGGGGCACTTGCACATGTGCGGAACATGGATTCCCGGTTGGAATCCTGAAATCCTCACAGGCTGCCCTCACTGCAAACACTGATGACGACCCCGAATTAGAATATGAACATTGGGAACGGACATGAGGATTAATGTCCACCAATCATGTTTTAAGGGTGTTTCCCAGTAAACTTGCAGACACCAGACTTGTCAGGCAGCTTTGTAATGTCAAACTTCGGCTTCTTAATGATCTTCACCTTGCGAATCATGCAGTCCTTCAGAGGAAAGGTTCCTCTGCACTGCTTCTCGATCGCCTTGCCGATGACCTCTGGGATGAGCTTCTTGACCTAGGCCAACTCTCGAAGCAGCAAACAAGGAACCGCAGCACCTCAGGATTGAACAACAGAATTTGAAAGGAAGCAGATACAAACTCCGGGTTGATTCTTGAAGTGAGGTTTGGACAATGCAAATAACGTGCATGCTTCCCACCGAGTCCTCCCCTTTGCTGGGCGCCGGTCGCCAACAAAACCAGCTGAGAGCCAACCGCCAGGCACAACTTTCTTCACATCTCCAGGTGAAACACTCGTCAGCTCAAGCCGCCACTTCGCACAAGACTTTGTCCATGCTCAACCCTAAAGGACTATATATATATATATACATATGTATATACATACAACTTGTTCCATTATCATGTTAGATGCCACAGATGCATTTTTAGATGTGAAATGTTGGCAAACATCGACTCGAAAAGAGTCCCCCTTCCCCTCCCCCAGGTTTCAGATTTGAAACTTCTGCCACGGGGCGAGGTCGCGCAGCAGACACTTGCTGCCCTCCTGGCAGAGACGAGCCCTGAGCTCTGAACGGGTGAAATTATGTGTCTTGTTTCATCGGGGACCTTTTGATGAACAGAAATGCATTGGGATGGCCCACCACTTCTGAGGCTGCACCCAGAAAATCGAGAAGAAAAAAAAGAAGGAGAAAAAAAACGGGCTTCGCTTCAGGAAAAAACTACTGGACTCCCTGCGACCCTCAGGACCCCAAGATCCGCCAAGTGGTCAGAACATATGCCACTGAGGCCGCTACACGGGCGCCTCTTAGCTGCCACAGCAGCTCACCACTTTGCTAAATAAACCACACCAAAGAAGACCAAACTGGTGAGCCCAGCCCTTCGAAAGCTAGAAATTGGTGAAGCATTCCAACAAATTGAAGAGAAGCGTCAGTGAAGCATTCTGAATACGTGGGTCAACTTCAACGGAGAATAGAGGGATTCAACACACAAGCTGCTCTTTTGAAGGAAACCTTTTGGGGGCTGCTTTGCCGATATATCCAGGGAACCCAACATGTGTGCCCATGCCCATGAGTGGTCCCCACCATCAAAGTTCATATCCAAAAAGTCTCAACCTGGGAAGCTCAGTTCTTATGGCCATGGGTCAAAATCCCAATCGTACACACAGTGAACGTCTCAATCCAACCACTAAAATAGGTTCTAAAATGGGTGGTGAATTCACCTACCCCAAAATGGTACCATTGGTTTTGACACAGCCATATCCCAAGCTCGGGTGGCCTGAGTCATGATATCCACCATCTTGGCCCGGATCTTCCGGATCTGCGCCGACTGCGCGTAGGTATTGGCCTTCACCTGGCCCAATCCGTCAGATGCCAGCAGCTTACCAGCTCACGTCGGGAAAAAGTGCGAGACCTGCGGCTGTCCCTTTTAGCTTCCCTCGCAAACCAGGACCCGCTGCAAACCAGGAGAGGCAAGGCTGGTCGGGTTCCCCGAAGGTCAGCTGGAAACTCAACACGTAAATCGAACTTTCCCAACGCCACGCCAAGCCAAGGAGGAATATGGGGAGCCCAGAAAAACAAAATGATCTCCAAACAAAGTGAAAGGAAGGCATGGCCCAAAAAGGGGAAGAGTTGTGATTTGACCAGATTTTTCTAGCCCACACCTGCCTGCTCTCGCTGCCGCGCAGTGAAGGCCAAACAAAACCTGGGCCAGGTGCAGTTTCCCAAAGCCGAGTGGAGGGGTTTGCCAAGTGGTTGTGCGCCTGTTTGTTGTGTTGGTACCCCATTGTGGCTTGATTCCAACAATGGAGACAATCCCAAATGAATGCTCCGTTCACTTTTGTTCCCTAACATGTGCAGCATGCATGCACACCAAATTAAAAGAAGGTCTGGAAGATGGACTAAGTTTGGGCGTCAGCTTGCGGGTTGCAGGACTTGGCACTTTCAGCCAAAGGGACAGCCGCACCACGTAATTGTCCGCGGTCTTAACGTCCACATGGGCCTCGATCAGTGTCTGCCATTTCCTGGCGCGAACGCATCGAGGCTCTTGGTCACCGAAGCGAGCGGTGCCCCAAGGCTGTCGGGCCAGTTTAGCAAGGAGGCTCCGATGGTAAACTACAAAACGGTGTCATTTCTGACAGTTGGTCTTGAGTCTTGATCCCACATTCAGTTCAATATACCTTGAATGCTCGCCCTTGCGTGACCATGGCACGGGCGACTTTTTCGAACCCGTCTTTGTGCTGCAACAAGCCCAACAAACCAAACAAACCAAACAAACAAAAGTAGAAGATACACACATTTTGGGGATGTTCCAAAGGCCAAGGCTCTTGATGAGCGAGCAAATCTTGTCTCTGGTCAGCTCCATGCCGTGAAAGTCGGTGAGGCAGTTCCTGCCCTGCACTTCCTCGGAGGCGAAAAGCACGTGGCGACAAATGGTCCATCACCTAGCTGAAAGAAACAAGCAGTTCAGCGTGCTTTTGTGGAAGACAAATGATGAATTCGATAATTCAATTGGCCCATTGGAATGAGACGATGACTTCCGCGATACGTGGGCTTTAGATGCCCCGGGGCAACCTATGAGAGGTCTACATCCAAGCCTTCCACGGAGGTGATGCTAGCTCACATGAGCTCTGCAAAAAGTCAGAGCGGCCGGAGGTTGAGGGTGTATTTGTGTACGCGTGTTTGCCATTCCTGGAAATGTGCTGCGACAGAAACATGAATGAGAATCCATTTCCTAGCTTTCAAGCAAGAAGCTACTTCAAAACAGAGCAAAAAACACGTGATGCTGTTACAAGTCATCTCCTCCCCTGGCTGCAAAAGGGCTGAAAAGAACCCTCCTAGTACCAGCACCCGTTGTCGAGCGGCCGCAAATGGAAACCGAAGGAAACACCTCGTTTTGCGGATTCACTCTGAGACTAACCCATACACAAAAACAAGTCCCCGGCCTCAATGCAAAGCCGAATCTTCTTGGATGCCTGGTCCTCATCGCTGTTCAGATCGGCCAGATTGACCTGCCAGCGAAAACGAGACCGCTTCGCCAAAAGCACCCCGGTGTGTCTTTTTGATACATGTATTGAAAGCAAAGAAGAGGAGATCACGAGGACCGACGTTTGAGGGTACCTTTACTTGGGGGGTTGTAATGTTTAAAAAACGGCAAAAAAAACAAAGTGGAGGGGTGCCGCTAACAGACACTGCAACCCCCTCCCCCTGTGTTGCTTTTTGTTGCACATTGACCTATTCACACACTCCGCTGACATGATGGCTCAAGGCCCTTCAAGTCATTTGTACAGTCATTCGACTCATGGTACATTGATAAAAAGGCTTGCAGACCGCTTTACAGGATTCACAGTCAACACAAGCCACCAGGGACAATCCATCCTCCAATCCTCCATATTGGCATATTGGACTCTCTCCGGAATAGATCCAGGGACCAAATCAACGACCTCTACTACCACAGGGTACCAGTTCCCTTCTGGGATAGGCACCCCGGCAGTGGGCCTCACCCCCCCCCCCCCGGGAAGATGTACATGATGACCTCACCTTCGCTCCCTCAAAGCTTCGCCGTCCCCGTGCGCCTCCAAGACCCGGCCCTTGAGCTCCTCCGTGGCGATCTTGGTGCCCTGGGTACGAGACACCAGGGTCTTACCTTAGCCGCGACTCGCGACTCGGGGGCGTCCCAAAGCCCTGGAGCCTGGGAATTCGCAGCTCCCAGCGGCATGGGCAGTGAACATCTCTGGGCTTCTGGCCGCAGTTGCGCACGCTGAACCTCGGCCAAAAGCAAGCGGCCCGCATGGCGTGCGAGAGTCGGCTTCCAGCTGGGCCCGACCAAATACACTCAATTTGACTCCAAGAAATCCCTCGACTTGTTCCAAGCAACATGCTTGGGGCCTTGATGTCATACCACTCCTTCCGGAGGAAGGGGTCGCCCGCCTTCTTCTTTCCGCCCTTCTTGCCGCCTTTGGTGAGACGCTTGTTCTTGCCCACCGCCATGCTTCGCCAAATCGGGCCTTGATCCTTCGATAGGCTCTTGAGCCTCCAAAGCTGCGCAATTTCATGTCCCCACTGCGCAGCAACCCAGGCCATGTCCCCATACTTTGTCTTCAGATTTGCACGGAACCCAAAACAGGTCCCCGAAACGAGATTCCTCGCCAATGGCTTTGGGGTCTTCACACGACACAGAGCAGATCGCCATTTTGTCCTTGCAGAGCGAAGCCGGCACGTCATTTTGAAGACTGCTGTGAAACCTCAGCTTTGCAAAAGAGCACCTGATCCTCGGCAAGCCTCGAAACAGCGCAAGAAGCCCTTTCTAACTCCAAAACCAGGAAACTGAATGCCCCCTGGTGTCTAGCTTGCCTGCACAAGGCAATATTTCAGACGTGTTTTGTTTCGCAGCACGGGACGAGCAAAATCGGCCTTCCAAACTAGACAAACCCCACGCGCGCCCAGCGTCGCAGCCCTCACGCAGCATGGATGGCAGCCTGCCAGCTTTGGACAAACCACCAAAACAGTCCCAACTCTAAAAGGATTTTCACCACGCTGCTGAGCCCCACAGCATTGAGGCCCACGCGCGAAGGCCCCAGCGAAAAGCTCAGCGAAGTGCCTGGGCTCGCTGGAAGAAGCTCAGCTTGAGGTTCCGGACTCAGCTGGGAACCTCCGGAGACACCAAAAGGACTTGAAGGGAAACCTCATCCCCCCGAGCAGCCGCAAGCACTGCTTGCAGGCTGGTAAGAGAGGCAACCAGACCATTCTGTTTATTCTTCTTGGAATGGAAAACTGAAACCAAAATGTGATTGGCGAACACACTGGAGTTTTCCGCCTGTGCCCACATGACGCTGAACTGTCTCTTAGCTGCATGACTCCTCTATGGTCCGTGTGCCCCTTTGGGATGGCGTCGAAAAGGAAACCAACAGGACTCTGGGAAACACCCAAGTGTTTCTACCGATCCCAAGTGTTTCTACCGATCCCAGATCTATCGTCCAATGCATCTGCAGAGCCCTGCCGCTTCCACAGATTGCACCGGCTCAGCTTCCCATTTGGCTTTGGTTTTTCGAGAGTGCATTCGAACCTTTGGGGCTCCCATGCAACAACAAAGGCTGAAAGGTCTCGAAGAACCTGACCCAACGATCTACTCGCAAATTTCCCGGGGACGTCAAATGGGTATGGGTCAAAATAAAACCACCAGGGGACCGCGGGCTTTAGTCTTTGGTTCCATTTACCATCGCATTTTCGGTACGCATTTTTGACCCACAGTCAAATTGCAAGAACCGAACTGCCCCCAGCCAAGGCTTGATCTCAGGGCCCACACGCGCCACTCCACTGCCCCACAGCGCGGGCCTGGGAGCAGCCGCACGGTCCAACAAGCAAAACCGCGCTGAAAACATGGAAAGAGCAAATATTGTGTTCTTATGTAGCAGGAAATGACTATGTGTTGAGTGTACGAGAGGAAAGTGACAAAGAACAAAAGGAAAAGTGTGAGCGCAGCGAAAACGTACTCAAAGATCGGGTTTGGGAAAATTGGCCCTCGATTTGTCACAACTCGGAGGCTCAAGCAGCTGAGCATATCACGCGCCGCCAACTTTGCAGCTTGACAGAAGCCAAAGCCTTCTTCGCTTTGCAAGGCGCAAAGCCATAAGAACAGATTCCCCTCTGCCAATGCTACTCATAGCGAAAGTGCCAGCTACAGGCAGCCTGGTTGACACAAAGGATGCCACGGTTCATCTGCCCTCCCCACTAACATCAAACCCACACACTCTTCCGGAAACCTCAGCCCGAGCCCAAGCCGAGAAGAGACTGTCTGGAGGCCACGGGCTCGCGGGCCCGCCACGGACCCGCCACGGGCCCACGGACCCACCACGGGCCCACGAGACCCACGGGCCCGCCACCGCCCACATCTATACATGTGATGGGTGCGCATGTATGCATGTATGTGCATGCGTGCATACGTGTATGCATGTATACCTGTGTGTGTGTGTGTCATGTATGCATGCATGTATGTGTGTGTGTGTAATGTGCGTGTTGTGTGTGCATGTTTGTGTGTGTGTATGTATGTATGTATGTATGTATGTATGTATGTATGTATGTATGTATGTATGTATGTATGTATGTATGTATGTATGTATGTATGTATGTATGTATGTATATGTATGTATGTATGTATGTATGTATGTATGTATGTATGTATGTATGTATGTATGTATGTATGTATGTATGTATGTATGTATGTATGTATGTATGTATGTATGTATGTATGTATGTGTTTGATTGTTTGTTTGTTTGTTTGTTTGTTTGTTTGTTGGTTTGTTTGTTTGTGTGCATGTATGTATGTATGCATGTATGTATGGATGTATGTATGTAATGTATGCATGCGTGTATACGCGTATGAGAGAATGTGTGTATGTATGTATGTATGTATGTATGTATGTATGTATGTATGTATGTATGTATGTATGTATGTATGTATGTATGTATGTATGTATGTATGTATGTATGTATGTACGTACGTATGAATGTATGTATGTTTGCATTTATGTATGTATGCATGCATGCATGTATTTATCTATCTATCTATCTATCTATCTATCTATCTATCTATGTATCTATGTATCTTTGCATGTATCGATGTATGGAATTTATGTATGTATGTATGTATGTATGTATGTATGTATGTATGTATGTATGTATGTATGCATGTATGTATTTATGTAAGTAATGTAATGTAATGTACCGTAATGTACTGTAACGTAATGTAATGTAATGTAATGCACAAAAAGTATGCAATGGAATGTAATGTACTGTAATGTCACGTAACGTAATGTAATGTAATGCAATGTAATGTAGTATAACGTAGTTTAATATAATGTAATGTAATGCAATGCAATGTAGTGTATGTATGTATGTGCGTGTTTACGTATGTTTGCACATGTGTATGTATGTGCGTACGTATGCTTGTGTACATGAATGTGTCTATGTATGTGCTTATGTGTGCAAGCATGTGTCTGTGTGTGATATACGCGCGCGTGCGTGCGTGCGTGCGTACGTGCGCGGGTGCGCATGAATGTCTGTACGCGCTCACGCGCAGCATACGAGCGCGCGCGCGCGCGCGCGCTGTGTGTGTGTGTGTGTGTGTGTGTGTGTGTGTGTGTGTGGGTGTGTGGGTGGGTGGGTGGGTGGGTGGGTGGGTGGGTGGGTGGGTGGGTGGGTGGGTGGGTGGGTGGGTGGGTGGGTGGGTGGGTGGGTGGGTGGGTGGGTGGGTGGGTGGGTGGGTGGGTGGGTGGGTGGGTGGGTGGGTGGGTGGGTGGGTGGGTGGGTGGGTGGGTGGGTGGGTGGGTGGGTGGGTGGTGGGTGGGTGGGTGGGTGGGTGGGTGGGTGGGTGGGTGGGTGGGTGGGTGGGTGGGTGGGTGGGTGGGTGGGTGGGTGGGTGGGTGGGTGGGTGGGTGGGTGGGTGGGTGGGTGTGGGTGTGTTTGTGTGTGTCCGTGAAGCTGTTAATTTTCTAGAGATAAAGCTTTAGACAACCTCGGTCACATTCGTGTCACGTCGCACAGCATGCAAGCCCACCATGAAAGTGCCACGCGGCCATTCAGCTTGGCGCCCTCGCTAACACTCCAACAAACATGCATGCCGGGGCAAACACACCCGGGTCTCCCCATGCTTTTGGCACACTGCTGAGCAATGGTCACTGTAGCCCAGCGCCGCGGGCCCACGGGCCCCGCGGACCCACCGGGCTCGTCGGGCCCACGTGCCTGTCACGGGCCTCACGGGCCCGCGCGCCCATGGTCCCGTCACAGGCCCACGGGCCCGCCCCGCCATGGGCCCGGCCCCCACAGCAACCCAAGCCGAAACCTCCAGTCACATTCCACAGTGGTGTGTGTCTGTTTCCTTTCAGAAGTTCTGGCCACGCCTTGGCTTCAGATTAACCGCATGAAGTGTGCATGAGGAGAGGTCATGGAAAAGCATGGATCAAGGAAACCGCCCATTGGGATTTAGAAAGTGAGAAAGACACAAAGTCTGCAAATAAAAGCCAAGCGGTTGTTTAACTTGCGAGGAAAACTTGCAAAGCTGCATGAGGACGAATCTCACTGCCGTGTGATGGAAGCGAGCATGACTAAAGCAAAGCCTAAGCTTCCCACACCCAATCTTGCCGCCGTTTAAAACGGCGCTCACCTGGCTCGCTCTCGACTGCATGACAATCAAAACCTGGTTCAAGAGCTCAACCCGCGGCCCACTGTAAAGAATCAGAAGGACGGAAAGCCATACCTCCGCCCTGAATGTCCTTCTCATTCCCTTTGAAGCAACGCCGAAATCCTTGCTTTCAAAAAAAGACACACCCAGTGTTGCTCCGGTTGGAAGATCCAAAATGAGCCTTTGTATTCCAGGTTGTGTTGTGTTGAGGGTGCCCAATCCACCGCCGGAAAAGCAAACTAGGAAAACTCATTTGGGAGTCCAAGACCTTATTCTGACATACCCCGCCCCTGAAAAACCGTCGCAAATTCGTGAGTCCCCTGGTTTGTGGTGGGCAATTTCGTGAGCCCCCCCCCCCCCCCGGGTGTCCCCCACACATTGACCTTGCAGCCGAAAGCCGCAATCGACAACCCAGAGAACTTCGCAAAGCAAAGCGACGAAGCAACACGATGCTTGGCTTCCGCAAAATTATCTAGGGGGTTAGGCCATGATTTGCACAACTTGGATCAAATGCACGACCTGCAAACCTGCAGGTGCAACCCTGGCACAAAGGACACCTTTGCAACCCTGCAGATTATTGTTGCCAGAAGATTCGCCTGCGGGAGTGTGCGATTCGGGCTGGGGCTGGAGTGCGTTGGTAAACGCGCATCAGAACATGGCCATGGCTAGAATCATGTGTGAGTCCATTTGTACCAACTTTGCAAAGTACACGAAGTGTTGAGCCATGAGCCTTCCAGAGTCCACTTTCAAAAATACGCAAAAACACTTGCTGAAAAATCGGATTTGCTCTACAGTCTCTTCATATCCTGGGACCCAGGTCGTTCATCGATTTTGCTGAGGGAATTAACTCATGTCTGAACTGATGGTCGCAGAAGTGGCCAAAATGATCCTTCAATCGATTTTCCTGAAGCGCCCACACCGTTCTCACTCGCTTGAGCATCTTGAAACCCGTCACATGCACGCTTGAAGAAATCATTGCCGTGAAAGGGCTGCCAAGATCTGCTCCAAGCCCGCTTAAAGCTAAGTGGCTTGGCCAGAAAAGGCTGCAAGCACCATGAACAACATGGGATTCGGCCATTGCGTCGGGAGAAGAAAGGGCCACCCTCCGGGCCCTGGCCTGCCGCGATGGCGGCGATATTCTGCCTGCACAAGCAAAGCACCCGGCACCCTTTGTCGGTGGACAAGCTGCACAAGTCTCTATGCCGCAACAATAGGTTCCGCAAACATTGGTTATTGCCAGCTGCCGTCACATCCGTGCCAGTGAAACAAACGAAGCTCTTGTTGGTGGCATTGAAGGAAACCTGGAAGGAGATCACGCGTTTGGAGAAACAAACTCCAGCTGGATCCTGACTTCATGCTCCAAGTTAGCAATTAGGCCAAACCGCTAGCAATGTCATGGTTGGGACGCATCAAAAAAATGTGCCCAACAACATGACAAGCATTCAAGTTAGCCATATGTGTGTGTGTGTGTGTGTGGGGCTATCGCATCGCAAGCCTGGAATGCCAACTGCAACATCAACAAAAACACCATCTTCAGGTGGCGAGCATGGTTTCCTGACTCCAGGCGCATGTCCAGAAAGCATAACAAGTCCATGCCCACAACAAATGAGTCACAATCAAAACCTGCCATTAAAGAGATCAACCCAAAACGTGCGAACAATCAGGACGGAAAAATCACAGCCTTGCCTTAACCAGTGTTCATGGCTCAAATGCTCTGGGGCCCGCCTGGGTCATAGATCCCAACTTGCTTCCGAGTGCCCCAGGGCACCTGTCCCACGCTCGTCCTGCCACGCTTCCCAATGGAAAAACGGAGACCTTGGAGCTCGGAGTTGGAAAGAGACTTAAAGATCGAAGCACGAAAAGGAGCAAACCCAAAGCCAAAACGCTCACCTTCCATGGAAACTGCAAGCCTGGCAAAGCAAAAGCCGTAAGTGGCAAGCCGCGTGCCTGGCAATAAAGGACTGAATGAATATTACTGAATGAATGAATGAACACAAACGAGTGAAAAAGAATACATATACATATATATATATATATATGCAACGCCCCCCCGTGAACCCTGGTTTTTCTGCCTTTTGGGGATGGTAAATCCAGAATCTCGAGACTTAAGTTTTCGAAATTGCCAATTGTGTGTCCCCGAAGCCTCATAATTTGGAGCCTAGAGTCCTCCAAAATGTTTCAATATGATACCCTTTCCAAATAGGATTCTACATCAACTAGAATTGGAATGTTGAATATAATTTAGTTAGGAAAAGCTTTCAATAATGTGTTTATTTTCAACTACTGCTTATATAAGCAAATCCTTTCCAAATAGGAACTACATGAAAATGTAACTAAGGTGTCCTGTAAACCCCAACTAATCTTTAACAAAAGATGTTAGATAGGAGTTTATTCCCAAATATAATCGAAGTGTTAGATATGATCTAATACGAACACAATTCAATTACCTTCTGATAGCAACAATTAAATAGAGACTACTTCTCAAACATAATTCATATTAAACATGGCTAAACATCTAATAAGAAAGGTCCGAAATTAAACTTGTTAGACGGTGTTCCAAAAGCAAATTCCATCTCGAAACAGGGATTCTAGCTAAATCAGCTTTATTTAAAGTTGTATTTGCACAGGAAACAAAACTCATTCTATCTCAAAAGGCGGAGGTAGTAGACGAGCAAATGTGGACAGGTGGTTCAAGAGGGGGAAGGGTGACGGTGTGTGTGTGTGTGAACATACATTCATATGTGTATGGTTTAAATACATACATTCACACATATATAGTACCCCCAATGATCCTGCACCTCTTTATGATATTTTACAGATATTTGGAGCAGTACACCTACCTTTGTTTACCTCCTGGAAAAGGGTCAACATGAGCATAGCTAACATGACGCAAACCGCTCACTAGAAGCACTTGAACGTTTGTCTAACTAATAATTTGAAAGTGTTTCCACTGGATCGCTAAGTACTTGAAAGTATTTTGCTGGATGGAATTACACAAAAAACTTTTCTGAGAATTGTCAATCCTGGCCAAAACCAAACAACATTCAAGTTATTCTAACACTTGAGTCACTTGAAAGTGCTTTCCCACTGAATGGAGGATTCAATATTGAGGATTGCACAAACAACAACTTTCCTGAGAATCATCCATCCTGGTCAACCCCTAGAAATGTTCCAAGTTTTCTAAAACCTCGAACGTATTTTACCACTAGATTGAAGATTCGAGATTGAGATATTTCACGGAAAGCTTTTCCGATAATCGTATTGAACTCCGAGAGTATTGGGACAAACCTGGATTGTTCAAAAAAGCAAAACTCTGGGATTCAAGGTTCAAGATTCAAGATTCCCACGCAATATTTTCTCAGAGTCTTGAATCTTGAATCTTGAATTGATCAAAAAAAAAAATGAGTTGTTCTAATAGTTTTGGATGCATTCAAACTCTTTCAGATTGCAGATGCTAATGTCATTGCTTTTGTCACATGCCTGCATGCATATCATATATACATATGGCACACCCCTAATTTTGACCCAAAATCCAAGAAGCGAAAAAGACACAAAACACTGGACAAATACAGGTCAAACGCACCAAACCAGGGTCCATGGGGGGAACATATTATGTATATATATATATATATACACATACTAAATAAAGAGAATGAACGAATAAACAGTCGATAAGCATTTAATTGAATAAAAGAATATGAAAGTAAACGCATGCATGGTAAATCTATCATACATAAGTCGGTATGTTAGTAACAATAGTGAGGAAAGAAAAAAATGTGAACTCTCTCTCTCTCTCTCTCCCTCGGTCGAATGTCCTTGCAAAGACCGATGCATCTGGCATATGCCGCCTGCACAGCGCAACATGAAGCAACGTAGCCTGAGAAAGCACACACACACAGGCGCACACAAACGTAGTTCTGCGTGAGCTGTTTTGTTTTAACTAGCCCCGGTTTCTCTACTAGCCACGGTTCAACACAAGACCCCCCAACGTGCGTCTAAACAAAATGTGGCATTGGCAGCAGTAGTAAGGGGCAAGAGGTGGTTTTCTCTGGGGGCCTACTGGAGGTCGCGCCACATCCCCAGCATCCACGGCCTCACTCGGCTGGTTGGTGTTCAAATAGGATTGGCAAAGGGCTGATATCCAGGCTGCTGGGGCAGTTCAAGGTTGACTTTGGGTGGGTTTGGGTTGTGCTAGGTGTGCAGATGGCAGATGGTTAAGCCACGGGGTTGCTTTGAGGGTGTAGTTGCGTGAGTTTGGGATAGTCTTGGTGGTTTGCGGCAACATCCCACAACCAATCCCAACCAGCACAAAACTCACATGACCGCACGCTCAAGCAACCCTAAAGCCACTGCAGCAAGCCCAAAACTCACCCCAAACCAACCCCGAGCAGCTCTCTTTTCTGTGCTGCCAAATTAAGCCACACCTCTCCGTGCAATGCAAAAGGCCCTCTTGAATCAATGGAATCAGCACAATACGAAATAAGTGTTCTCAGCATAGTATGAATGTACAGAAAGTGGTATGCAGGATAGTGGTACAGGGCGAGCCTTGCATAGCTTTTCCATGAGCAGAAAAGGCGAAGATTCCCAAGCACGCCGAAACAGCGCATTGAGACCAAGCCTTGCTTGCGCGACCATGCACATTGGATAAACTAAGCCTTGTTGAAGGATCCTTCATACAAAAGCTCTACTGTCTGCGCGGGAAGAAAAACATGTCGGCCTCAGAAAAAGCTGCATGCCCTCTTTGGTGTCGATCTTGTGGTGACAGCGCCCACCTTGGCATTCCCAAACCTTTAGATTCCCATCCGGCACTTCAACAGCAAATCATCCATGATGGTCCATCCTCGACTTGAAAAACTAACAGGCCAAGTCAAGAACTCCTCGAGAGCATTCCTCTGCACCCATTCTGCACCGCTGAGGTGGGTACAACTGAGATCCTCAGAAAAGAATCAGCCGAATGGCCCAGCCGGCTACAAAATCTGAGTAAATAATGAGGGGGCTCAACTGAAAAAAAGCAAAAATGATGTTCAAATCAGGACCTCGGTTTGATAAACAGTTCTTCTCTTTCAGCATGGTTCACAACATGCAGCCTGACACTGATGCGTGGCATGCATGCGAGACCTGACAAATGAGAACCAAATCACCTCCGATTTCGGGTCCGGCCATGAATGTCCAGTGATTCTTTGGTGACTTCATCATTTGCACTCCGCAACCCGTGGTGCGGTAAAAGCCGACTGTTGTTTGCAGCCCCCTACTAAAAATGAAAAAACTTGCCCAGAACAGTGAAGTATACGTTGCCAAATCAACTTGGAGGGTGTTCCAAGCCGTGAATTTCCAAATGGCCTGCGCCCTGAGAGGCCGGCAATAATCGAGGGCTTCTTTGGAAGCCGGTTCACCAGCCTCGGCCTGAGAAAACCGCGGCCTGAGAAAGCTTCGCCCCCTTCTGGCTTACGTATCTCTGCCAGTTTTTAGACACTTGGCTGTGGGTCCAAAATAGGTACCCCAAATGGAACCCTGGCAAGTGGAAACAAGGACACAACCTGCGGTCCCCTGGTGGTTGAATTTTGGCACAATGTCACCGTGCTCCACAAGAAAAGCATGGATGGACGATTGACGAAACCCTCCCTTTTTGAGCTGCCGTTCCTGCCGTTCCTGCCGTTTCTGCCGTTCCTCCACTTCCACAAATTAAGTCCCGCGCCAGCTGCGGAACAGCGACATTCAACAAGGGCCGGGCATGCCTTACAAAGCCAACAATTACGTTGATCAACTGCACTGCTGAGTTCTGCCTCTTGTGTGCTTTGTGCGTTGCATCGAATTGCGCCAGTCAAACAGCTAAATAGGAATGAAACACCTCAATCATGAACAGTCAACATCATGAGCAAAAAGTGACTCTCCAGTCACACTTATCTTTGCTACAGGCTGCAAGCCTCAGCGACTGCATGCATGGTCGTATCATCAAGTGCTATAGAACCTCCCGGCACATGCAACTGCCTCCCGCGCCTGTCTACTCGTCGTGTTTGGGGTCATCACAGTCATCACCAAGCCGTCCTCTTGAGAAGAATTTGGGCAAATAATGTAACTGAATAGCGCGCATCCTGCAAAAATGGCAAAGACTTGCCCAAACTGGCAGACTAGTGATTTCTTGCCTTTCTCAAGCCCTTTTTTCACACTGCAAAAATAGCCGATCAAGCATCCTGCGTCAGCACGAAAGGCAAGCGTGTTCGGCTCAGATGTGTTACAAAAAGCTGGTAGACCCAAAACTCTGCCTAGCTGATAGCTGCAGGTGTTAGTCGGCAATCGCGTCCTTGTTTAAATGGAATGCGCTGGTCAAATCCCAACGTTGACCTTGATTAATTAGCTTTATTTGTCAGGTCAAGCTTTGACCTTGTTTAACTCGATTGGATTTGTCAAAACAAACCGTTGCCCTGTTATGCTGGAGGGGATGTGCCAAATCACGACGGTGACCCATTTGCTTACTGGATTGGATTTGTCAAGGGGGGCACCGCATACGCTTGGTTTCTAGTTTCTTTGTACAAAGGGTATGGACATCCACATGCCTGTGCAGCTATTTGTGCTAATGGAATGACATCCCATGACACATCGTTTTTTCCCCAAAAGCATTTCTGGACATGCACTCCCGGAGCGCCAACGCAGGGAAATCCACCATCTTGATGGAAAGAATAGGGCGCAAAGTTGTCCAAATCTGAGCGTGCTCGCCAAGCTTAAAATAGCCAACGTGCCATTTTGGCTGACATATTACTCATATTACAAACCACCACTACGCTCTTAGCAAGTTGAACAAGTCATCCAAATGAACTCGGACACGCCTTTTTAGCAATAGGCGCTGAGAATCGCATTGCAGCCTCGATGTAGGGTCCCAGGTTCCACACCGCCTACCTCAAAACCGAGTCCCAGGCATATGCCTGTGAGTAGACGTTAGCATCTTGATCACTGCTTCAAGCCGTAAGGGAACATGCAGCAAAAAACAAAAGAGTACGACCGACAAATGGTGCGCTTGTATTTTTTTCTATGAGGCGTTGCTTGGAAGTCAAGGCTCGGGGGTGCAGGGAGAAAAACAATGCGTGTCCTTTCCCTGTGCCTGCACCCCCCTGCGGAGCCTTCTCAAATGCCCCCGTGGTCAACAAAGCGTGTTCGACCAGACGCCAGGTGTGTTACCTGTGAGGCGTGAAACAATCGAAGGCATTGGTTGCTGCAGGATGCAATGCGTGCATCCGGCTGTTGTGCAGTGCCGCACACGGTGCAATGTTGAGACCTGTCGAGGCGGTCACTGCGCAGGGGCATGCTATGCGCAGTACCTGTCAGGCACTGCGGTGCTCTGCGAGAATACACCTGAGCTGTGAAAGGGTGGGTGGGTGGGCGCAAAAAAGAGGGGTAGGACTCTCACGCATGACCCTTAGGGGGCTTGAAGACTGCTTCAAGCCGTAAGGGAACATGCAGCACAATACAAAAAAACGACCGACAAATGGTGCGCTTGCTCTTTTTCTTTAAAACTTTATGAGGCGTTGCTTGGAAGTCAAGGCTCGGGGGTGCAGGGAGAAAGACAATGCGTGTCCTTTCCCTGTGCCTGCACCCCCCTACGGAGCCTTCTCAAATGCCCCCACTTCAGGGTTCCAAGCAAACGGCCTAATCTATTGCCCCCTCTTCAGAGCGTTTGCGAAGCACTTTAATGCTCCGGCCGCCATGGTGCGTCGGCCGGATGCAATGACAGCGCGGATTTATGGGGCCAGAAATCATGTGGGCGAAACCGAAAGCGAGCATGCGGCTTGCTGTCAAATGCGGATGTGTTTCCGCAGCTGAGCTGATCAGCCCACACGTTGCGCTCGCCTGGGATGTGCGACGCTAGCACTGACCACTTGTGCTTGTAGGCCCATGCGGCTACTAGTTGCACAAAGATTTGCAAAGGCCATGCTGTGGCGAATAGCTTGTTCACTCCGGCTTCGCACGCGGTGTTGTCCGTGCCGGAAGGCATGCATAGGCCGTGCACCGCTTGGCCCTCGATGGTCCACGCGACCCGCATGAGCGCAAGCTGGCCCAAGGTTTCGAAGCAAGCTATATATGGGCCTCCTTGGTGAGGCACGGCCATTGCTGCTGGACTTGTTGGAAGTCAGGTTTCTGCGAACCAGGAAACGGGCCGGCTGGAAATGAACCAGCCGCCTATGCCCACCTTGGTGCCTTTGGCACATGCGTCTGCGGCTGCTTTGCAAGCCAGGATTGGCTTGCTTTGCAAAGCATTGCAGAAGCCACTCTATGTTGGCTTTGCTTGTCGTGGACAATTGAGTGTGCTCGGCAGCGGGGTCTGCTACGCGCACCCAAGCTGTCTTGTGACTGGGCACCACGCGTACTGGGGCTTGTTGGTACTCCAATACCTTTGAGCCAAGTGGCATGAAAGGGCGAAGCCAGTACGGCTTTGGTGTTCAGCGCCGAGAGGAAGGCAGGCCACAGGCGTGCGTTCACTGAGATCATGCAGCCTGGTGGCGATGCAGATCCGCATATAAAGGCGCAAGCCAAGATCTCAATTCTAGGCTTAGGCTGGTGGCCCAGCACTTGCTCCAAAAGCATTCTTTTGAAGCTTTTGGAGCGGAGCAGGGCACCTAGTTGCTCCTTAAGCTTAAGAGTTTTTAGCGGTGTGAGTTCGATGGTTTCTTGGTAGAAGTTAATGGACCATCCGCACCAAGTCAGGCAGTCCAGGAAATGGGCGCACTGATGGCTGCGAAAAAGGTGACAATCAACGCAAATTGCTGATGCGTCGAGAAGGTTGTCGACAAACAACCACGCTCTGTGCGGGTGTGCTGATAGAACGCCGTGTAGCAGTCTGAGCAAGAATGCTCCTGCGCGTTGCCACCAGTACACAGAGAACCGGGCTCCGAAGTGGCATACTTGGTAGTGGTACAGAGTGTCTGCGTAGCGAAACAGGAACAAGCCATGTTCGCTAGGGCGCACTTGAATCTGCTTATGCGCGGCTTTAAAATCGAAGCTTGCGCCTATGAAAGAGGCATGCGTGTCCTCTAGCATGAAAGCGAGGCGCACGTCGGATGCCATCGGCAAGCTGATGCGTTCGGGGAAATTGCACTTGGGGTCTACTCCGCAAACGGCGCCCACGTTGCCCTGCGCGGTGAGCCCATCCAGAGTGGCCGAGCTCGTGAGGGCCAGCGAGTTCTGGCACGCTGGCTACTGCTGCGCGATGTGGACCGTCGGGGCGGGTGTGCTGTAGTCCTCGAGGTCCGCGTAGCACGTCAGGGGCGCGAGCCGGGCAGCGGCACTTTCCGAGCGCGCTCGGCTATCTCTCGCTAGCATGGGTGGCGCGGTGCCACAAGGCCTTCAGGGTGAAGCGGGCCACGCACCAGGGCGTGGCTCCCAAAATCAGCCCCTGTCTGCTGGCCAGCGCCTGGAAGTTGTGGATCAAAGAGAAGTGGCCGCTGGGGCGCGCTGCTGGAGGATGTGGTAGCGCTCCAGCCCGTCCACCCACAGGGTTCGCTGCCACACAAAAGACCAAAGCCCACAGGGCGGTCCGCGGAGAAGTCCACCCCCACGTCGGCCAGAGCGGGCTGCCAGCCCGTGGGGGCGTCCGCGGCGGGTCATCTTGGGGTAGAAGAAGGAGCCCGAGCAGCTCTTGTTGAGCCCGTTGACCCTGAGGCAGTGCGCCAGGACGCACCACATGAAGCAGCGTTTGTCCTCGTTCCGAGGGTTCCAGACGGCCTTCTTCTTGGCCAGGCTCAGCCAGCCGAATGGCCATCATAGCTGGTCCACCACCAGCCGCAGGGCGTCCACGGTTAAGACTTCCTGCCCTGGGAAAAAAACGCAGCCGCAGCTCGCGGCCCAAGCAACCCCGCGCGGCGCAGCTCTGTCACAGCAGCCTCGGCGCTCGGGGCGCGGCCTCCAGGGGGACCGCCCGGAGCGAGTTAAGCCACAGGCGGCCCAAGATGCGTTCAGAGAGCTCGGAGGTCATGGTGCGAATTGATCTTGAGCCGAATAAATGTCTTTAAAAAAAATAAAAAATAATCCGTCGGGCGAACGAGGCTTGTTTTTTTCTGTCCGGGATTCTGTGCGTCCATCTACCGCATCAGCGAGTCGGCGCCAGCGGCTGCTGCGTCGCGCGGCGGCGATTCCCCAGCCACCTTTGATCCTGTCAACTTCCATGTTGCTACTAGTGTCCTCGCTGTGGGGCTGGTCCTTGATGTGGAACATGCTGTTGATGGGATTTGCCCATTTCGTTTGCGAAGTCTCCCAACGTTGTACCAAACTGCAAAGCTGTGCGTAGCTTGAGCCCTCAGTGACCACAATGTTTGTGTATGCCTTCAAAGGGCCACTCAAGCATCTAAGCAAAACCGCCATGCGATGGTTATCACTCAACTTGCTCGCTGTAACACGCTCGTACTCCTGTTCTGCCTCCTGCAACCTTGCCAGCTGATTGCTAAGTCCCTGATTCATGGAGAAAGCAGGCCAATTGTTGATTGCTTGCAACAAAGCCAATGCACGTGTACGGGCCAGGGGCTGCAGGTCCTCGCTAATCAGTCTGTAAGCCTCAAAGCCGTTTAAATCTGAAACAGTCTTCAGTATCTGAATGCCTCGTTCATGCAAAATGCCAGCAATGAATACAGAAGATTGTTTCTAGAACATGTTTCTTCGCTCATATCAGTCATCAAAACTGGTCCTTCTTGTCGACGCAACGCCTCCAAATCCGCATGAAAACCAGGGTCAAGGGCACACAACCAACGCTCGAATGTCCAACTCCAGTTCT